GAGACTGATTATAATATGATAGAGGACTAAAATATGTTCATTATGTAAGACTACCAAAACTACTCGTCACTTTTCCGAGGTCCCCAAATTTCTAGAGCAATGGATTCGGATCGAATTAAAATTATTTCACCTACGAGAAGCTACGTCACATGCAGGTTACATAGGCTATCATTTCTAATATAAGTCACAAGAAAACATCTAGACATATAAATAAAATCAATCACATTCAAATTTTGCACTGCCTATATTGTTCAATATGTAGGGAAAGAGTAGTTTCTGTAGTTTCTTAGTTCGACTAAATGTTCTTTTTTTTTGTTGTTGCATCATACGCAAGATTGAATATTATATGAGTTTTGGATCCCTGAAAAAATGAATGGTCATCTTAATGAAAAGCATTTATATGCAATAAAGATAAGCAGTGTATTACCGCCTTCCATCGTGTTGATTCATGGCTATCAGATCTCAATGGGAAGTACGCAGGCGTAGTGTACCTCCATGACTTGTGCCTTGCCCTTTCACCCCGCGTGGGGGTTTTAGCATGGCAAATGGTCACGATTGAATCCTGTCTGCACTTTCTATTGCGACTTCATGGTGTATCATTAGCTTATAATGGACGCGAATTCATATATTAGTTGGTTTTGGAGCGTGCATTTCGAGAGCAAGTTTCCAATTGTTATTCAAGTGGTCTTGCTAGTCGATATAAATGAAAAAAGAAAATGGAATGTCTGGACTTATTCAGGCTTTTTTTATATTCACTGAATTTAGAGAAAGGTTTTCATGGAAAGAAAAAATAGTATTTTTCTCCATACCAACAATCAGATACCTAAGCAAAATTTGAAATATAAAAAAATAAAACCGATACAAAACATTTGCGTAACGCTAAAGAAAATTAACAATACACAAATATTTGTGTTTAAAAAATAAATTAACCAATTTAAAAAAAAACATATTACACATTATTTATTGAATGTCAAAAATCCTAAAAAGTACGATTTTCAATAAGAAAACAATTTCAAAAATGTGCGTCTACAAAAACATGTGATATATAACCAAGGCTATATTTTAGCTTAATAGACTCTTCATTTAACGAGATGCTACAGAAGTGAGAATTCAGTAATTGCAATAAATCACTGATGTACAGACGCAATTAACTACTTCTCCAATTATGCGGGCTAATAAATTATACAGTGTCTCAAATAATATTTATCACTTACATTCATACTCGTAAGTTAATTAATAAATTCCCACACTTAGAAAGGTAAACAATTAACGTCTAAAAAACGATTTATAAAATTACTTGAATATATTAACTAAAATTATAAAGGTATAAAAAGTCATTACTCATTAAAAGATGAAAGGATTGCTATTATCCCTGAAAATTCCAATTTAATGTAGTTTGGAAATGTGCCTTGTACTGACCGGTCATAAATTAAATAGGATATTACGGGGGGTCAAAATGGCCCGAATGGCTTCGAGAAAATAATGGTACAATACAATAATCGTATATATAAAACAATCTTTGCATTCTGATACAAATGTTAATTAATATTTGCGGCAGTTACAAGTAGAGAACACTTGCCTGATCACTGAGAGGTTGCTGACAATAATCCAGCCTGCTCAAACTTGAGACAGATCTAATTTTAAATATTTTTTCTGAGATTCATACTTAATTGGTTACCAGTTATATAAAATACCAAAAGGTGGTCTTAAGTTTCTTCAATTATAATAATTTGACTAAATTAATGTATATCCAAAGCAGTTGAATTTAGAAAAACAAAGATTTTTCGATAACTTCATTCAAAATTCAGGTACCAGGTACCAGTGGAGAGTTCACGCCAGATGCAATCTAACCACGATCCTCAGTTATGAAAGACATGATTGACCGACTAAGAAAGAGAAACCAAAATCTTGGGACAAATTAAAAATTAAACTTAGATATAAGTAATAAAAAAACATTCATTTATTAGAATGAAAACACATTTATAGACAAAAACAACACAAATATTTTTATTACTTTGAACTGCCGCTACTAAAACAAATTGTAAAAAAGTCATTGGATATATTCAAATAACTTCCTTTCGACTATGAGTCATTTGGAATTCTCCGACAGATGCTGAGGATAGGCTTGTGTTATATAAATTTTATTTAACATGCATAATGAAATTTATTTAAAGAGAAAACATTGATGAACAAACTATTGGCGGTGTAGAAATACCTAACGCGGTTAAACTTGTGGTAGGATTTAGTTCATTAGCATGCATATAATATATTAATTATAAACATTTATTTGGGACAAAGTACATACTTCAAACATATATTATATTACACAAAAAACAGAAAAGAGATGTCCTAGCTCAGCATATGCTATATATTGAGGTATACAAAAAACTTTATAAGTATAAAAAAAACATTTACTTTATAAGAACACGATAAAAAAAGGAATGGACGAGTTTTTTAAAAACATCGTTAAAATTAATTATGAAATGAGAGACTCTAGATATATATTTTATTACATTTATATATATCTATTTTTAATGGAATCAGGTTTACTTATTGTGGACAAATCATAATGGCAGTTGCTAATCTTGTCAACCATAACAAAAATTGTGTATGATCTCAACACAACCCAACTCAATAAGTGTGCTCTTCCACCAACGATACTAATTGTTCAACACAATTAAGAAACCAAAATGGCCGCCAGGCGAATCACCAATTAGGTGGGATTATAATACGAGTAGCTAGCATCGATGATGATTGTATACCTCCAGGTTCATTTTCAGGGTCGTTACCCAAAGAGTAAAACGGGTGCCCTATTACTAAGACTTCACTGTCTGTCTCATGAACCGTGAAAGTAAAACAATTGAAATTTTCACTATCAGAATCAATACTAGAATAAAATTAATATTTAAAGGGGCTTTCATACAACTAACGTGAATTTTGTTGCTTGTTTCCTGTACGGAACTGAATTTTCTAGGTTTTTAATCTGCATTACGACTGCAGGCTAATTCTGATAATGTTTACGTAATAACCGCATCTCGATAGATCTTAACGACCAGTATTTAATCATTGTTCTTTTTATCTAAAGACCAATACAATTAGCGAATTGTCTTCCTCATACATAAATCATCATCATCATCAGCACTTTTACGTCCCTACTGCAGGGGCTCAGGCCTTCCTTATGGATGGTTAAGGAGGATAGGCCATAACCCTCCACGCTGGTCCACTTCGGATTTGAGGGTATTAACGACTGCAAATGCAGCCGGGACTGACTGCTTAACGTGCCTTGCGAAGCACTGAGTAAGCTCGAGATAAAATTTTTTTGGTCACCCATCTCGTGGCCGATCCTTGCGAAAGTTGCTTAACGACAACGAACGCGGGCCTCGGCGCTTATCCACTACGCCACCGAGCTACTCGCACTCAGACACATAAATATTGACAGATATATAAAAATACTGAACTTCAAGTAAATATGTATATGGCAATATGTAAGCGGCGTACGATGGCAAGTTGAGATTCTATTGAGATGCTATTATTACATAAACATTACCAGAACTGGCCTGCTGGCTGATTGAATAGAGAAAATTAACGTAACAATATTTTTCATACCAATAAAATAACAACAGGGTTATTTCTTTAATGAAAAATGCTTAAAATCCAACAGTCGCAGGTAGCCCGAAGTGACACTCAATGGTTAGAGCAGTCACACAAATGGCGAAAAGTTGTGGGTTCGTGTCTTACTTCGGGTGCTGTAGCTGGTGGTTTTTTTAAGCATTTATAATTTAAAAAAAATATTAGTATAGCATTATGAATGCGAAATCGAGTAAATGTCATAACAGTGTATGTGATACCGCTAAGACAACTTTAAATCAAAGATCTTTGAGTCAATCTTTGTGTCAATTTAAGTCACTTTCCGTTTGTCTGTATGCTGAAATATCTTAAAGTGCACGACGTATTTTAATATGTATAATACAGGACCAAACGGGCGAAGCTATCGGCGGAAAGCTAGTGAAAATATACAATGAAATCTGTTTTAAATATTTCAATAATCTTTGTAATAAATACACAAACTAATTCTATGAAAATATCAAATAAGATTTCGCAATCTATGTATTTATATGCACGGCAATTAAGCACATTCTTTAATTTGCTTAAATGCTGTGTAAGCTTCGGGAAAGTGGTTACTCGTATTTCGCGATTATACTGTAATTAAACGGGCATGTCACGGACCCAGACGGGTCATCATGCGTGTAGTAGGAAGACTACTATAACCTGTAGTTAGGCATGAAAGAGAAACCATGTTCTGACCATAACATACCTTGTAGAATCCAGGGAAACTAGTCGTAGTACAACTGATACAACATTATTTATAATTAGAATCCGTTATATGAGGTAACATCACATATATTGCTCAGTCCCAAATAAAGTAGATTTCAGCACTTGCATTTAAAACTTCTAAATATATAAGTAAATCATCAAAAGTAACCAACCATCTACAATTTTAATAAGAAATTTCTGAAACTGATGTTCTATATTATCTTTTTACTACAAAACCAGTTTAAGAGTTGTTGATTATTGCATTCATAACGCCGTTTTGATAAATTAACTCTTTGAAAAATGCTCCGGCATTTGAGACTTTAAGGCTATCACAGTCGTCAACATTATGATTGTACATATATCATTACAAGTATTTAACTATAAACTGCGATAATTAAATACAGTATTATATTGAAACTGAAACACAATATTATCATTTAGGTTGGAAATATGAAATCGATTTTCTTACTATTTCTTTTTCCTTTTTTCAGATACGGATACTAGTCATAGTTCAAATTATCACACAAATCAGCTGTCATGATGGTTTCCGCGAACAAGACCTACTGCGCCTCCAACAATTAGCATCCAATAATGGGCAAGTTGAAACGATCACTAGTTATAGTACCAACATCATACAACGAGAACCGAATGCTCAATCCATCAGTTCAGTGAGTGTAAGTTACCAAATGGCTGATCCAGAGAAACATAATGATTATAATAGAGCTGATCGCTCTGCTCGCTCGAGAAAGGTCTACCGTATAAAAAATCCATTTCAACGTCCTGAAGAGGATGAAGAGAGACAACAAGATAATACCCCCGAAACCCAAGACAGCGGCACCGGTGCTAGTAACCAGTACGCGTCGATGCAGTACTCCTTACCACCTGAAGAGTTTCTTCAGCAAATGAGGGAACGCGAAAATCAATTATATCAACAACAACAACTATCCACCCAAACTTCTAACCTGGGATACACAGCTACACCACAACCACAGTACCAATTTTCAACTGTTTCACCCGTTACATATGATAATAGCCAGCAACCAAGTCAAGTGCCACAGCTTGAGGCGAAAATGTCTCAAATTCCCCTGTATCTCACGAATTCGAATTACCAATATAGTGGTTCTAATCCGTTTGGTTTTGATAACATACATAGTACACCATCACCAATTTCATCGCTTGTGTCTACTTCATTACCAAATACACAATTTGTAGGCACACCTTCAAATAGTTACGTTTCAAGCTCATCGCCAATTTATCTATCTAGTCCTCCGAATTTCCAGCAGTATGTATCATCACCAATATCTACTGTAAGTTCTGGCACATCTGATTATAGTAATAATGGAGTTACAAGTACATTAGGCAGTAATTCATATAATTATGAAAACAATAACGAAATCAACAAAAAAATGCAAATAGATCATTATGATAACTCTGCAAATGGAATGAGATTCCCTATGAATATTCACCAATACCAAAATGAATATTCGAGTTCGACTCCGGTGCCCTCTTCTTCTCCTTATTCTGAACTTGGTCATGATAACTGGCCTAATTCAGTTGGAGCAAATTCTATGCAAAAATCATTACAAGATTATACAGCTAATCAATATCAAAATATTGCTTATAATAATCATGACGTAAGATCAGAATCTAACTCTGAAAATACAGGTAGTGATACTCACCGTATAGGAAATATATCGCCTAATGCAAACAATATTTTATTCAATCTATTTCAACCTGATTATCAAGGTCTGAGCAATGTTAAACCTCGAACTAGAGACGTCGATCATGAAACAGCTCAGCCTAATAACAATTATTATTCTCATGGTGATTATGGGTGGAAAATGCCTGCAAAGAAGACTGGCTTAAGCAATCAAGATGATTTTCCTTCGAATAACTATCAAAGGTATCAAACTTCCCAATCGCAAGGATATTCTAATACAGAGGGGGCAATAAGTCAAATGACGTTTCATATGGATCTTGGAAGACATGGCTATGAACCAATATCAAAATCAAGTCCTGAAACATTAGACCCTCAAGAATTTGCAAAAGCAGCTGCAAAAGCTCACGAAAAGCAACAGCAACAACAGCAACAACAACAACAGCAACAACAGCAACAACATCAACAGCAGCAACAATTACAAATTCAACAGCAACAACTATACGGGAACAATTATCCCTCAAACATGAACATGAATAACAATTATTTAGGAACTCTAGCACCAGGAATTTATAGTGACAGACAGCGAAATAAATACATTGAGAGCACTAATTCTTACCCCTACAATAATATGCAAAATGATCTTATTACAGCATCCCCATACTATTACGCTAATTCTAAAGAAAATATAGATGGCAAACCTAAACAGCCATTTGATCATGATAAAGCATTAAAAAATATTGTACCAATCGATGTTTCAAATGTTGTTTCAAATTCAGATTCTCAACAGAAAACTATTATGGGATTAGACAGTAATAAGATTAATTTGCAAAATATTGGGAAGGATTCAACTGATCAAAATATCAAACAATATTATCGAACTGTCACTGACTCTTATTACAAAGATAAAAATGCTATTTACGGTTTTAATATAAAATCAAAACCCGATGAGTTTCCACCCAATGATAATATAAAGCAAGGAGACAATACATCACCTTACTTTACAAAGTTACAAACACAAGATTCAATTTACAATCAAGCTCAAAGTGACAATAAACGGTATTTAGATGGGCCTGCTCAATCTAGTAATTATGTCTCACAGTTTAATAACTATCCTGATAATTCTCAATCTTCAGCAAACATTCACAGTTTACAGCGGCCTGCCAATCATCTATCCGATGTTACAAATATTTTAAAATTGAATGACATTCCTCACCGCTTATCTGGTGATCCAATGAGGTTGAACAATTTTGACCAATCATCTCTACCTACTCCACTTCCGATGAGACTTAACCAAAATGTTGGTAGCCACCAGTTAGACGTTGCAAATAGTCTTTTAAATAAATTGTTATTAAGTAAACAAACTAACTTTAACATAAATAGACCCGAAATAGACTCTCAGGCTAGTGGTCTATTATCTACAATTAATGGTTTTAAAGTGGCAAATCCTTTCAACGTCGATTTAAAATTAGTTGCGGAAATGTTGAAAGGAAAACAAGCAATTGACGATACACAATTATTAGGACTACGTGATCAATTAAACAGGCCATCACCGCTCAAATTCGATATCTCACAATTACAACAATTGCTTTTGAAAACGGATAACCCTGGTTATGGTAGTTTGGGAGACAGTATTACTGGCTTAGGAAGTCCATATTTAGAGATTTATAGTTCAGGTCGTTATCCATATCAAGGAGTCAAATATTCGAGAAGTCAAGAAGAAGAAGAAAGCATAGTGCCTATAGCAGATGCTTCTAATACTCATCCAATAGGTGCAGTAATAGAAGAGGGAGATTTAGCTAACGTCCGTGAAGCAACTACAGGTACTGAATTAACAGCACAAGACGATGATAATATTTCAAATACATTTGCCGAAGATAGACCTAAAATGTCATATAGACCAAGATTTTCGGATAAGTTAAGACATCCGAATGGTTTAATGCCGGGGCGGCATTCATTTCCGAGAAAACACCCTAAATCTGAGATTGATGAGCCTTACCCTTTATTGAAACCTCCTCCTCCACAATCGTCTAAGAGTCGAACTGGACGTAGTAAGTTTGAGAAGCACGGACGTCGACGGCGTATGCCCAGACCTAAAATGGTCAGACTTATAAAGACAGAACCACTGTTTGAAGCAGGTAGCGATGTAGAAGATGAGGAGCCTTCATTGCAAACTGTTTTGAGACCCCCATCTCTGATTGCGGAGGCAAAAGCTGATGTGGATGTTGAAAAGTTAGAAACTTCTTTAGAATCATAATTTTAAATGTGATTTTCATTGAGCATTTCACTAACTCAATTACTAATTTACATGTTAATTTCAAACAAATATTTTTTTGTTGTATTTAAATCTTTCATATTCTTTTATTTTAATATAATTTTCGAAGTACAATAATAACAATATTTCGTAGTAAAATGTATTTCATAGTTAAGGACATTAATTTCTGTATTTCAGTGGTAAATATTTTTATTATCATTTAGTTCATAAGGTAAATTATGTTAATGTAGAGGAATGATGTTACATTTCATACTACAGCATTTATCTTTAAATTGGGATACATATGTTTATCAAATTTTTTGTAAATAATTTTATTTACTGGTAATGTTTTAAAGGTGCTATTTACAAGCATAAACTTTTGTAAATATTTAAAATCTATATATTGCCTAACGTTATTTTTGGTGTGATAAGTTTTAGTTATTTTAGAGTTAGATTGCTTCTGTATTTTTATTGTTGCCAAGTTGTTGATGTTACGAAAATAAAGAAAATCATTGTTGTTAAGAGATAATGTCTCTAGTTTACTTTTTCAATCAGTTTCCATTCATCTGTTTCGTGTGTGTAATGCGTAATTAAACTCTTATTGGAAACTGAATTAATCTGCTCAAGTACCGAAAAAAAATGACATCACAACACGTTTATTTTCAGTAATCTTGATTTCACTTGAATAATGTTGATGAGGGAGATTAATGTCCGCGTTATCTTTATTGTGTAATTGAGTTAATTTCTCAGTACTCTCCTTAGAAAAACATCTTTGTGTATTAACAACAATATTTTGTATAAAAACTGATCTTCCTTTTTTATATGAAATTAGACATTATTCAGTTTGACGGCTATTATTCATATTGCGTTGGCAGATAACGGTCAGATGAGTGTGATCGCGTGCGTCTCGCTTTCTTCATCCACGGCCCCATACTTCAATCAGTCAACTGAAAATAGTTGCCAGTTCATATTATGAAATGGATTTTTTGCTTTGAACACATTTTTATAACGTCATCTCCATTGCGTGCGATGCAAATTCATTCATCAATATTCAAGATGAATCGTAATTGCTGTAATAAACATTTCTCGTTGTCATTATTTTCTCTTATTATATATATATATATATATATATATATATATATATATATATTGATTTAAATATATATGATTTAAATATAGTAAGATACACTGATATAGAAATAATTCCAATATAACGACACATTGATTACTCAGAATCAAGACAAAATATATTGACAGTTGCAGAAAAGATCCGGAATCTGTGATAGCAAGGAGTTAAGAATTATGAATAGAGCTAAGAATCAAAGAGATATCCTTAGAAAACTTAGATTCAAATCACCATTATAATTTTGATTAATATTAATAACAATTAGATTTTATATCATAGCTATTTCCATAGACTCTTGTGAAATTTTTTACAAAACGCTTCGTTAATTGCTACGAAGCGTTTTGTGCTTATAAATAAAAATTTGTTTCTGTGTTATAATACAGACCAGAAAACAATACATGACATTTTAAGGCTGTGTAAACATCATTATAATCATCAATATATCAAAGTTCCCACAGCTGGAGTAATTTTAAACATGGTTTAAGCGTTGGAGTAAATTTTCGCTGAGACTGCAAGACTCTGCAAAGGTTAACCTAGTGCGAGGTTCCTCTGAGCAATATTTACTACTAGAAGGTGGTAGGTTTGCTTATTCTCTGTATAATATGAATTTGGACTAACAGTAAAATTATAATTTTAGCTTAAATTTAAACCTTATTTATTAATAGCACTTCTAATGTTTAAGTAATAATCGCATTTCAATACAATCTCATTTATTACTTGAATTTTGCCATTGTACTTAATTACTTAACTGTCACCATTGATGTGTAAGGAAGACATTGTACTTATTATATTGGACTTCATGTAAATAGTACAATGGTAAAATGCAAGAAATTGAAATTCTATCCAGATACAATTATTACGTAAACGTTATCAGAATTGGCCTTCCCTATGGATGGAACAGAATCATCATCATCATCAACCCTTCATTTCGTCCCCACTGCAGGGGCTCAGGCCTTCCTTATGGATGGTTAAGGAGGATGGACCATGGCCCAATGCGGATTGCCGGGTATTTACGACTACAAATGCAGCTGAGACCAACGGCTTAATGTGCCTTCCGAAGCACGGGGTAGCTCGAGATAATAATTTTTTGGTCATCCATCTCGTGAACGACCCTTGCGAAAGTTGCTTAACGACAACGATCGCGTGCTGCGGAGCATATCCACCACACGACCCCGGATTGGTGGATGTTAATGACTGCCGATGCAGCAGGGACTACCCGGACCTGCTTCTGAAGCACGGAGGAGGTCGAGAAAATATATTTTTCGACACCTATCCTATGACTGACCCTTATAAAAGTTGTCTTATAAAACCATCTGTAACGCAGACTGAACAAGCTTACCATTGCATCATCGAGCTAACATAGCTTAACCTATTTTTTACAATAGTATCTAAAATTTTAGGTGTAGTGAATTAATAACTGAACATGTGTGAGAATAAAGAAAATTTTGATATTGATTTGGCTTTCAACTTAATATTAGTTTGTTTTGTTTAGTAGTATTCAGAAGCTATGTTTATTATTTGTAATGCACACATACAACAGTCACGTACTACAAATTAAGTAATCGATGAATATATTTAATAATTTCCGTTAGAAAAGGAAAGATCCAAACCAGTTTTTCGCTCTCAATCTCGATATTGTCTCGGCCGCTGTAGGTCACTGACATCGATATAAATATGAACAGATTATACGACAGTTTACTAAACAAGCGAGGCTTGTTGTAGAGGAAACACGTTCAGTGGCCAGCGATTAGCTAATCCAAATGGCTACTTTTGTAAGTAAATGAAGTATGGGATATATGTATATCTGAAGATTAAAAAATAGATTATGATTTTTCCTTTTTTGTTCACAGACAAATTTGATAATATCAGTGTTCCTCGTAACTGGTGGTACCTACGCAGGATACCTACATGGTAACCCTCATCATCACCCTGCTCATCCAGACTCATCATCCCTAAGCGGTCTAAGTGCCCCCAGTTCGCTGGATTCTGTATCTAGCTTCTCTCCGAGCAGTTTTCCCGCTGGATCTCTACCATCAGCCTCTTACAGTGGACATGGTCACCATGACAGTTATCATAGTGGCGCTTTAGATTTAGGTTCAAGTGGACATCACTCGTCATCTTTAGATTCAGGATATGGCGATCATGGATTCTCTGGATCTTTAGACTCTGGATTGGGTGGACATGGATCCTCATTCGATTCTGGCTTAAGTAGCCACGGATATGGGCATGGATCATCTTTAGATTCTGGCCTGAGTGGACAAGGATTTGATCATGGATCGTCTTTAGGCTCCGGTCTAAGTGGTCATGGATATGGACATGGAGCATCTTTAGATGCTGGCCTGAGTGGACATGGATCATCTTTGGATTCTGGCCTAAGTGGACAAGGATTTGATCATGGATCGTCTTTAGATTCCGGTCTAAGTGGTCATGGATATGGACATGGATCGTCTTTAGATTCTAGCCTAAGCGGACACGGATCGTCATCATTGGAATCTGGACATAGTGGTCTAGGTTTAAATGGTTTATCATCAGGTGGTTTTTCTGAACCATTAACCTCTGGTTTCTCAGGATCTTCTGGATTTGCTCCAGCTCCTCCAGCGCCACTGCCTTTAGAACCTGCACCGTCACTACCAGCATCTTTTGGATCTGGATTTTCTTCAGGGTCCAGTTCTTTGTCAGGTTCCTTGCCTGCTGCGCCAGCTTCATTTGGATCAGGATTAGCATCAGGAAGCGGTCCTGCTCCTGGAGGAGAAGCGCCACCTCCAGGCCCAAAAGCTCCTGTTATTACCGAAATCCAAGGCCTTGCTAACAGTAATGGAGCACCTACACGGTACAACGTCCGCGAAGAAACGTATCAAGTGGTTCGTGAAGTCACCCACAGGGTGCCTCAGCCTGTACCAGTGCGAGTACCACAAACAGTAAGAATACCTGTACCGCAGCCGTATCCCGTCAAGGTACCAGTCGTCAAGAACGTGCCTGTGCCAGTAGTCAAAATTCAGCAAATCAAAGTGGAAAAACCTGTGCCATACCCAGTTGAAAAAATTGTGAAGGTCCCGGTTGAGAAAGTGGTGCATGTGCATGTAGACCGTCCAGTTCCAATCGAGAAGATCGTTAAAGTGCCAATCGTGAAGGTAGTTAAGGTTCCAGTGCACGTAGTGAAGAAATATCCTGTACCTGTGGTGAAGACTGTTCATCACAAGGCGGTGGCGGTCAGTCATGGACACGGCCACGGACATGGACACAGTCACGGACACGGACACGGCCACGGGCATGGACACGGCTGGTAGAACATTACATCACTCACTTTAGTATCATATTCATTCCTAGTCTGTTCTTTTGTAAATATTTTTCGCGTCATAGCTCATCGAGAGGCTGCATCGTAGGGTAATAACTAAGTCATAATTATAGGTGTTATTGTTATCATTTTGTAAGACATTTAGTTATAAGTTGATAACTGAATTAAAACGTTATTCCAAAGAATGCTCACTTTATTTATTTAACGACTTCAAATGAAGGAGTTTGTCAATTTGACATGTATGTACCAATAAAAAAAAATTCTATGTATATCCGCTTTTAAGCATGTTATCTACATTTTGTAAATATTGATATGTATGATAACTTCATCCAATAATTTTTCGCAAATTACGAATTGGATTGCAAATAATTCTTTTTTGTTTGATTAGCTTCTAACTTAGAGAAAGGTTTGTGTTTGTATAACTTTTGTGAAAATATTAAGAAAGAACTATAAAAAAATAAAACAAATAAACTATAGCTTCATAAAAATAAAACCGACTTCCTAAAGCCTTCATAATAGTGAAAAATTAATTCCAGAACTATCGATGTCCGGCAATTTGTAATATAATAATACATATACAAACGAAGCTCCCGCTCGATTTCAATAGAAGTTTCTTGTGTTGTTTTCACTATCGTAAACCTTTTAGGAAAATATTATTAATGAAAAATGCTCAAAAATTCCATGTTGCCCGAGGTACTCTGTGAAGGGACTCGAAACCAAGACTTTTTGCAATCCGGGCAACTGGGATAATTCATTAATAATATTTTTCAATATAGCATTGTGAATCAGATATAATAAGATCAATATAGCATTGTGAATACAAAATAATCAGATATAATAAGGGCTTAGGACGTTAGTTTTATTAAAAAAAGAAGTCTTTTATTTCTAACTAGCTGACCCGGTGAACTTCGTATCACTTACCTCTTAATAAAAACCATATTAATATTGAAAAATATTGCGTAAACTGACCACTACACGACCATAAATATTGCTCGTCAACTGAACGTTTGACAGCTAAGAACAGTTTGTATGGGAAAATCATATTGTCGTTTATAGTATTATACTCGCAATTTTGTTATATTTTCTCATCGTTTAAACCTTCCCTGGACTTAAACGAATATTTCAAGACTAAAATTTGTCAAATCGGTTCAGCCGTTCTCGAGTTTTAGCGAGACTAACGAACGGAAACTCATTTTTATTTATTTATATAGATGAATAAATCTTTAATAAGATAAAAGCGATAAACTGTTGCCTTAATTTATTGCATATTTGAAATGAAAAGGCTCCGAAACTACTGAATCAATTTTAAAAATTATTTAGGTTAAATTTTTAAATTTGACTACTGAGAAATCTTGGGAAACAAGTAGTTTAATAGAAGTATTTAAGAAGCCAGAACTTTTGGGATGAACATATTACATATTTTATATACATAGATAAACTCGTTTATTTGCATCATAAACACACGACACACAAGAGAAATTACTACAGTATTAATTTATTTTTTTAATATTACTACATTTTATCATCATCACCATTTCTTCACCATACTCATTACTAAATAAACAAATTTGAAGTGAATGAATGAAAGACTCCTTTTTGTTGTAAAAGTAAATGAAAAATATATAATAATATAACAGACAGTACAATTTGCCTTAATGCTTCCAGGCAATCTTAATATACAGGGTACACTACATACTTGGACCTACTTCAGCAGCTACTGAATTTTTTGTGATTTTTTTCATAAATCAATGGTTTCCTTTTAAGACGCGTAACTTAATACTTAGTAGGTTTACTGCGTACTAATTGAATTTCATAGAATGGTCATTGAATTATATCTTAATGTTTTAACGTTCAAATTTAAAAATGAAACAACTTTTAAAAGTTTCGTCGCGTTTGTATTTTATTTTATTGATGTTTCGAACCCTTTACAGGTTCCGTGTTCACATAAGACTAAGGTATTGATTGTCTTTTTAATGAAAAGTATTGTTACCTTCAATAACCAATATTATTGGACATATTTACAATACAAAAAAAAATATGGCAAAGTTTGCATTTATTAAATTAAATTATTTTAAAAATACATTTGACTTATTTATTTACCCCTGTCTACCGTAATCTAACTTGGGAGTCGTACCAATTCCACCAGTGCCTAATTTGGGAGTCTTGTCTGAGAAGAACTGGCGAAACAAACCGAGACAAGAAAAAGTGAATTGCTCCATTTGGTTTACAGAATGAACTAACTGTAACTTTTGGTTTTGTAATGTGTGATCTGGATTGAGATTTTATTCGACTAATTACTGGATCCCGAGTCGGTGGTATATTCCAACCTTTATTTCAAATAAAATTCGAATGTTTTTTAATTTCAATAGCCTCGCTAATCATCTACGAATGAAATTACTGACCTTAGTCAATACAAAAATGAAATGACCGGCACTTTTAATAAAGAGATGAATTCATAAGCTAGAAAGATGTATTTAAAAAAATACTTTTAGTTAATATAAAAACACAGGATAGCATGACAGACATAAATTTAAGTGACAGAACCATATAAAAACACTTATTTAAAGAGGCTGGCAAAGCTGTCGTCAATTCTTGTATTACGTACGATGCAACAATTATACTCAAAACAATATAGAAGTTTACCCAGCCGAGAACTAAATCCAAGATCGTCAAATTTTTGAAATCTATAACTTATTAAAATTGCCACTTATTTCCCTTTTTATAAATGTAATAAATAATCTTATGAGCAAGGGAAAAATTAATTGAAATCTAATGGGTTTTATATCATCTGTGAGTCCCTTGACTACGAAGAACGTCGAATAGGTACTGCAGTTCTGGATGTCCACGTAGTGAAAATCAAGTATTAGTTATTATGAGCCCATATACGTCTCGCATCTTTTGTGATAATTTTTCTCCGCTTGTTTTCAGGTTTTTTATCGTTTTCAAATATAAAATTTTATTTTACTAAAAGGTCTGCATTGTTTACATCCCGCATATTTACAATGCAGCCTATAAACATTCACACTCTCTATTGTGTTAACATACAAAGAATAACTTAAATATGTTTGACTAGTTATCAATACAGTAGCTGTTATTTCGTCCATTTCAATTATAGCCTATGTTACCCGCGTATGATGTAGCTTCCCGTAGAAGAAAGAATTTCCATGATCGGATCAGTATTTCCTAATTTTACAACCGCAAACAAACATGGTTAGAAACTTTACCTCTTATAATATTAATATAGAGTTTCATAGCAAGTTATCGGATTATTTAATGGTAATATATTTAAACACGCGATAATCTCATAATGGTAGTTTACTATGACATCGTTAATAAGTTGTTTAATTACATAAGAAAATGACGATTTCGTACCGGAAGAAAAGGCAGAAAAATCGGTCAGACTCGACGTACTCAATATTTATTTGTCATCTGCATATAAATTCACGAGACTGGTGAAATTTTATTAGGAAACCAACGTCCTATAAGTTCTCATTTGAATAACAAATTCAAACATCTGAGGGTCTACTGATAATTGGTGATTAAAGGCAGATCACAAATCGATCAGTATTTAAATTATATAAACGATTTTACATATTTCAAATAAAGCAGGCCCAATTCATATAAACATAATATTGTGTAATTTAATATACCTACTACCACAACCACAATATATTTTATAAGATAAACTCAAAAAAGCGGCAATAATAATTTAAAGAAATAAAAATTATTAATATAAGCTTATAAATAGCAGTATTTTAACACGTATGAGTCCCCATCTTAATTAATTTTTATGAAAGTTTGAAACGATAAAATAAACATTCTGAGCTTTATTAAGTCTGCATTGCAAAGGATTAATTCAGAATAACTATCAGTACCTAATATATGTTATTAGATGAGCTCGATGGCGCACTGGGTCAGCGATAAGGTTGGTAAGCAACTTTCGCAATGGCCGATTGTAGGATGGGTGACCAAAAATTTATCATCTCGAGCTCCTTCGTGCTACGGAAGGCACGTTTAGCCATTGGTCTGCAGCTGCATATGCAGTCGTGAACACCCACTAATGCGCAATGGACCTGAATATAAAAAATATATAGTTCGGATTAAAAGTAAATATACGTTGCTTAGATCTAAAATTAAGTAACAAAAGAACTTGTATTGTGGAATTTAATTTTTAAACTAGCCGAGTATGGAACCCTAAACCTCAGAGATGGCGATTCTAAGAAACTAATGTGCAACCCACTCGACCACGTAGGTCATATTAAAGCATTATGGACTGCAAATACACTTATAGGATTAGGGCCACTACAAACAGTAAGTATATTTAAATTTAGTACATAATAAAGACAAACAAACCATCATGAAGCAAATGTTTCTTAAGAGAAAATTTATTGAGAAAACTTCTCATTACAAAAGTAGGCCATAACTGATTCGTAAACAAAGGTGGTCGACAACCTGTCCAGTTAGACTAGTTAATAAATCAATACCATTACATAATTAGAGGAAATACCTATCATATTGAGACCGCGAATCACCATATTAACATAGAAATTTGTGGACGAATCGGACGGAGCGACATCCGCCACTATCAGAGTAATTTATTCATAGGCTCGTATCGACATAACAACTTTGAGTATAAATATGATGTGCTATTAGACGACGGAAACATAAAACACTAGAGCTCGGAAGAGACAACAACACTTTATTATACTTGGCTTCAAAGCGTTTAGCTAAAAGCCATGGCTTTTATTGTACGTTTATGAAATTAAAAACAAATACATTTAAAACTACAAAAAACTCTTATAATTAAAATTATTCAATTGTTACAGGTTAAGATACTCTTCTTGACAGCGTTTGTGTATGGAGTGAGAGGAGGATATCAATCAGGACATCATAGTCATTCAGGCCAAGATTCATACACTAACTCAGCTTTGAGTGCACCATCAGCTTCTTATGGTCCACCTTCAAATTCATATGGACCCCCTTCACATTCACATGCACCCCTTTCATCATCGTACGGGGTTCCCTCAACATCTTATGGAACTCCAATCTCATCTGGGTCAAACAGCTTAGGAAGTGGTTTCGGTAGTGGAGTAGGCTCAAGCAGCCTAGGAAGTGGTTTCGGCAGCGGTGGCGGCTCAAGCGGAGGAGGTTTGATAGGAGATTCGCATCTTCCCGCTCCACTTCCAAGCGCTCCTTTGGACAATTTCCCAGCGCCAAGCCCGGTGTATGGATCCCCAGAGAGTTCAGGCAGTTTGATTCTTGATGAAAATCGCCTCCCTGGCTCTGGCTCTGGCGCTGGCTCTGGAAGCACTGCTTTGGGACCGCCCAGAGTTATCGGAACAACTGTGACAGTAGGCCGCCCTGTTTTGGATAATTCCAAATATGAACTTCAATCTGTTGTTCAAAATGTCGTTCGCCGCGTGCCGGTTGAAGTGGTTCGTCACGTGCAAGTAGCGGTCCCTCAGCCTTATCCTGTACCAGTACGTCAAGAGGTCAAAGTCCCAGTGCCACAGCCTTATCAAGTACCCGTTAATGTTGTAAAGCATGTTCCATACCCAGTATATAAGAAACAGCATGTAGAGGTTGCCAAGCCCGTTCCCGTTGAAGTTGTGAAAAAAGTACCAGTTGAAGTGATCAAAAAGGTCCCCATTCCTGTTGATAAACCTTATGAGGTCATAAAGAAGGTCCATGTTCCAGTAGTTAAACATGTCGAAGTGCCTGTCCCCGTCTGGAAGCCATATCCGATCCACATCATTAAGCATGTCACCCATTACCAAAGTAATAAGGGTTGCTGCTGGTGATCACGAATTCTGTTTATACCAAAAATCAATAGTCCTGTAAATATTAGTCATTAGTTGTAAATATAGAATAGAAAAATGAGAATAAAAGCTTTAAACCAATAACGTTTCTGTTTATTTCGTTCTATATCAATCAAAGTTGACCAAGTAAAATTGTAAGTCAATAATAAGCAGACGTCAATTTAAATGTAAAAACTATTAAAAAGTTAAGCTAATTACATTTCTAGTTTCACGTTGAAGCTAATTATTACAAGTGTAATATAAAACACTATTTTAAAAAGTAATTAGTAATTTAATATTTGGATAGCTCATTCAAGCTACAATAAAATAAAAAAATATATTTCCAAAAATAAGCGTTTCTTTTACCATATATCTTAAATAGACAAATCAAAAGAGTCTCAACTAGATAGAGGAGCGTTATTTATGTATTTGTAATTAAATGCCTCATCAGATGATTAATCTTAATGAATTATTATAATTTTAACATGACTTGAAGCAAAAATTGTGCGCAACGGAGAAATGTGAAATTTAACTCGGTTAAAGTTTAATAGAGAAAGAGAAAATGATAAAATTATATATATAATAACGCTTAAAATTACATTTTATTAATAAATAAATATTACCCACAATAGGGATGATGTCTGGGTAAAAAAATTCAATTCTCTTTAGTCCGTCAGTCAGATAATAGAAAAATATTAGATACGTATTTTTTTTACTACAATTTAACAAGAAATAGCTTAGATAACAGGCATTAAAGTTGAGGCGTGGGGGCTCGCTACGTCACAGTTGAGTAGAAAACATACCCTAACGTGACGAGATTTCAGCTCAATGTAACGCCGTAATTTTATGATTACGAAAAAAATAAAAAAATACGTGTTTAATATTCTTTAACACTCTACCTGACGGACAAACAAACAAAAATTAGTCATCATCTCTATACCATGTGTTTGCATATTAATATAGAAGTCTGACTTGGTTTATTATAGCCTACTAACCCTACAGCAGAATGACTTATGGTGTATTTTGATGTGCATTAATATTCTTTATATGTATAAATTTATATTTATAAAAGATTTTTATCATTTTGGTGTTCAAATTATTATCTGTCTTTTATAAGAAAATAAACTGTTTTTTTATAAGAAAACAAACTGTTTTTACCAAATAATAAAATCTTTCTACTTTATAATATAAGTATTTCATTATAAAGTTTTCATAATATATAGGTTCAACAAAATTACCATTTCCAGCATCCAAAAATTTTCATTACGTTCTGATTTATAAAGTCATCAAAATAATTAACACTAATTTAATTAAAAGATTATGTAAATAATAAAATAAACATTAAATAGGTGCTTCATATTATAAATATCAATGGATATCCATTCATTTAATCTTACATGGCCTAAGCTTTCATGGATTTTTAATTTTAGGACTAACGGAATAATCGCAAAGAAACGGGTTTTTAGAAAGGCATATACATTTTTGAATTGGCACTATAGATGACATCTAGTGCGTTATACCTTGACTAAATTGTTCCTATGCCTGATCGTTTAAGACAGTCCTTTCTCTTACAGTGATGATAAGTTATTCTAGGTGGCATTAAAGTCAAACAACTTTTATCGACACTGCTGCGCATAGCTTCTATTTTAAACTATTTAGTCCATGGGCTTACTAACTTTTTTATCCGTGACTTTTTAGAGTATATAATTGATTTTTAAACTTCGCACTATGTTTACTTCAAACTTATAATATACTCGGCATAGTAGCTGCTAGTAGTTCGTTTATAAAAGCCAAACATTAATATTAAAATCGGTTTATTTTAATAATATAAAAGTAACAGTAACCGCTTCGTACAATAAAAAAATATATATAAATTAATTATTGTTACTATTTATTTTAGCATAATCAAGTTTTATTATCACAGAAATATTATCTATTACATTATCTTCATCGTTTATGCTTTGTTGGTTTGGATATGAGGAATGCATAATGTCTAAGCTGATGTACCTACAACGCGAAAGTGGAAGAATTCAGAAGCAGGGGAAGGAAACAGATACACTTTTCACTAGTTAATTGATGGCACGTTGAAGATAATGTCAATACCTGGCAGATAAGTTTTAGGAATATCAAGAAAGTGAAAGATTCACTCTGTCTACTCCTCAAGGGAGCCGAACACTTATAAAATGGTTGACAATATTTTCTTTCGCTTGTAGCATAAATAATAAAGCCAGTTAGAACATCGATTAACAAATTAACTTGAGCAATAACCAAGAATATATTGAATTGTGAAATCTTACAGACCAATGAAATTTTCCCCGACAACCATCGTTTTCATCATATAATAGCATTCGTTAATTAAACTTCAAAGTTTGAATTTATATCCAAAATACACTTTGAGTGGGAAACATTAGCATATTCGGTCACTATACGTTATAAATGTCGCCACAGCTGAATTCTGCACTAATTATAAGTCAAATGGTGTGTTGGACGACATAATACAGTGCTTATAAAGTGGACAACATGTCTGATGGAACTCAGACTCGTATTGGCATTTACTACGATTGTCAACTTATATTAGGAAAAGATGATTTTGGTACGTACCTTTTTATCTGTTCAAAAATTTATCGCTAATAAATATTTACGCATTATGTTTTTTTTTGTGATTTACGCGTTTTGTTTCTTTTTCTTCTGTAATTAAAGATGAATTATTCTTTTCAGAAATTGTTAATGGCTACGATGTGTGTAACTTCAATATTAGCGGCGCAGGATGACCTAGGACCGCATCAGTTTGTTCAAAACACTCCATCGAGTCTGGATGTAAAACCGGGTTACGTCATGAAAGATGTAATCTTGTATTTAACTCCTACTCAAATAAAGGCTTTAGAAGCAACACAAGGGCTCAATAAAGTAGTGCCGTACAGTAAACCAAACGAAAATCAGAATGAAAGAGTTCAACTTTCAAGTGGAGATATACAAAAGTTGGAGGATGAATTAAATAGACAATTAGAACGCCTGAGGATATATGAGAGGCAAAACGATAAACCAGCGGAAGTGAAGGAACCACCTCCTATTGTAGAAGCTAATACTGAAGAATCAGTGCCGTTCTCTCCACAAGCGAACCAACAGCAAACAATTATACCTCAAATAAAACCTCAACAGGAACCAGATTATTTCTTACCAAACGAACAGGTATTTAGAACAAAATTGCCAGAAAGTTATTCGTACATAAAATTTTACACTGATAATGAACCTGTTGAAAAAATTAATAGTGAAGCATTCCAAGCGTACTCTGACGAATTCAAGCTTGCAGAAAAAGTCGAACACAATTCGGAAACACAACAGCCTCCAAACTATCAGAAACCGTATAAACTAATTCCTTATGAGTATTCCTCGAATAAATCACCGGAACAATTGAAAGAAGCCTTAATAACTCAAGTACCTCAATGGCCCAATCTCTTCGAAGAACTCAAATCTGAACCATCTACAAATCCAGTGGTATCTGAATTATTAAAATCACAAAACCAAGAATCAAAACCAAAGGAGTATGAATTGCATAAAGAATTCTCAGATATTAAATATGTACCTAAATTTGACAACCACAAACAGGCAGCTGATTTTCAAAGATTCATAACTAAAATTGAGAAGGATAATGCTCTAGCTAAAGCTGACGCCTTAAGAGTACCAATTAGAATTGCGTCTAAAAAAGAGGAGGCAGCAATTAAACTAAAACGTATTCCAGGGCTGAGGCGTTTCAACGTTCCTTATTTGAAACCATTTTACAACCACTAAACTTTTTCTTATTTAGAATTTTGTCGAATCTACAATTCATAAATAGTAAACAAATGCCTGGTGAAGATATTGCAGCTCTTCTATAAACTCTAAACTCACAATACTATAAACTCACAGTGTTTTGGTGAACTTCATGAGTTGTGTAAGCTAGTGTACTGAAGAAAGATCTAATTTTAACAATAATAATAACCAAACGAAAATCAAAATAATCTCGAAAACTGTTTTGAAGTATAAAATATATGAAAACACCGACTATTATATTCGCTCAATATATTTTGAGAATATTTTAATGTTAAAATGTAAGTATTTATTGTTATACTTTTAATTATAACTCTCTGAACTTTACAATTAAATTTCAGTAAGAAAAATTTGTTGTTTATTTTGCTAAACGGAAACTTTGCTCTAAGATATCTGTAGGCACTATCATATTTTTTTTACTATTCTCTTATAACAACTAGTAATGAATAAATAAATATAAATAAAATAAAGTCTACATCATTGGGCTTTATATTCGTGTATTGTTATGGTACGAAATGGACCTAAAATACATTTATTGCTAACCGCCATTAAAAAGACATCAACGCGCGCACAATACTTGTAATACATGTTCCGTAATTTGGGCTTTGATACCTTTTTATATTTATATGTTAATATAGGAATGGACTATCCATAAACAAACACATTTTTCTATAGATAAAGTGGCTTAGTAATCTGTAAATCAATGACTTCTACCAAATTCAACAGGTCAAAGTGTTTGTCTTTAGAACTGCTTGATAGCTAGGAAATTAAACTACCCAATTCTAAAATAGTTCAATCTAACCAGTTTAAGACGTGTACGTCTAATTTTTTTTGTGATAACAAAGTTCCGTCAAATGAAAATCGTTTACGTAGTTTCCTCCCAAATAAATTTATAAAATTAATAAAACCATTTCGATAAATTTCCCCATTATTGAGCTTTCCACCCAAATCAAATTCAGTTATTATATATTTTTTTTATATAAAAACTATTATATTATTCTATATTATAAAACTATTCCATATTAAACTTTCTATAACTATTAATTTGATATAAAATCCTATGTCCTTTCCTAAGCTCTACTTTATCTGTGTACGAAATTTTATTTAAAATTGTTCAGTAGCTCAAACGCAACTGATACGCAGACAGACTTACTTTTGCATTTGTAATATTAATATGAATCTGTTTCCACGGAACAGTTCAGCTGATATAAACAAATAACACCATTTACAAGTGAAATGCATCGATACTTATTTATTAACCAATCAGTGATTGTTATTCACGCTTTCGTATCCTTCCGTTGTTACAAAATGAGACAAATCGCCGATCGCCGAGAAAGCAATAACTCGCGTGAATACTAAGCTAATAACTCGCTTGAATACTAAACTGACCAGGAAGGAGATATTGCTGCGAAATTACGAGATTTCTTATGTTATGTAAGTATATGTCGCCATAGCGCCCCGGATAGAGACTTATAACCTATAATTAAGTATGTTTATTGTGATATTATCTGAATTGGTTTAATATTATTATTTAGAGTTTGTAAAACTTATTTACTGAGTCGATTAATTTATCTCCATATCAAAATGAAGCTCGTAAACAGAGTGAATTTTAAGAAGAAACTTGCTAGAGTTGTTACAAATTATTTTCCATCATTAATTGCTACCATCACCAGTATTTTAAGGTCCCCACTGCTGGGACTCAGGCCTTTCATATGAATAGAATAATAATAATTTATTTGTTTCCCTCACAAACTTAATCTAAGTATACTCAATAAAAAGAAACCAAATCGTTCAGTTTGTGAGAGGCTGGTGCCTAACAGAGGTTTTGATAAACCTTATCTTACAAATCACCAGGTCTCATCCCAAGGATATGTTGAATTAACATAATGCAAGATTATTCGAGTTCATGGATGATAGAAGATTAGCAAGAATCGCACATTTTTGATAGCTAGTAAAGAAAACAATACGTCGTATTATGTTTAGGGCTTATGAGATATATAATAAGTGTAAATGTTTATGTATTAATATATGTATATATTCAAGATTATTTTATTTTGCAACTGCAACTGTATAGATAACTAGATATTATTGTGTAACTGCTTTAGTCAATCATTTGTGGTGTGTGAGTAGCCTTTCTGTGTCTTCATAATCTGGTGTTAGTAACCATTTTCTAACTGTGTACCTTTGATTTTTGCAATGGGTAAATAAAAAGAAACGAGTTAATTTTGATAGCAATAATGATTTTAACATGTAGTAGTTCTACAAAGGGGTACACTGCAGACTTTGTCTTTCCTTCTTTTGTCATTTTTAAGAATGAAACTACAATAAAATTTAGATAGCATTATTTGTAACGCATCTGAGCTTATAAATACCATATTAAATTGAACACCCAGACCGTAGACAACACAGAAAAAAATATTATCTTTATTGACTCGTCTGAAAAGCGAACCATGTAGCTCAGTAATGGTGATACTTTAAAATTGACGTGATAATATGTTTAAATACTCTTCCTTAATATAAAAAAGATATATTTTTTTACAAATATGTCAATTTAACAACTCAAGCTATTAGAACTGTTCGGATTTCGGTTCGAGTACCTGATATATTAGAGTTTCGCCATAAGCACCATGACAACAGTAAAATGGGGTTAAAACGACGACGGAAGTAAGATTCTGATTATTTAAACAAATTATTGTATATTATAAAATAATAAAAGAACACAATTAGAATTAAGAATAAATCATAAATTAACATTTCGAACATTAACATAAAGTATTATAGTTTATGTACCTTTTTCAAAATTCTTGCACACCACAGGCCATTTGTTTCTTTATTTATGTTGTGCGCACTTTTATACGTTTTCTTTTCTTCTTTAAGGTGTTGGCGTTATTTGTTTTAGTTTTTGACCTCTGCAGTACTAAAAAGTCATACAGTAGTTACCTAATAAAATATGGGTACCTATTTCAAATTTATCACATTAATATTTTATAGCTTAGTTTAAAGAAAGTCTCGTAGCAATTTAAATTGAGAAAATAAAAAATAATGATTACGCTCAGTGTATGTAACAAGTAAAATTTTTATATTGTCTACCTTCATAAATCTAAGCAGGTTATAATTATAAAACACATTAATTACGTTAGAGTTGCATTGTAACGACTAACGACTACAGCACTGGTGCGTAATTGAATCTCGAAGTAAGACTTGTGTGAAATATATAAAGGACGGTTCACATTGAAAGAACGTGTAAGGCAAAGCCTTTAATTTTTAATTCTCGTTTAAACCATATCACCCATTACATTCGACTCTAACACAACGTTGTTGTTCTTAATTTTTGAATTGTTTGCCTTATCTTAGCTCATAAAATAAGTAAAAAAAAACATATCAAGTCTTCCATACCTTGAAATGTGTTGAATTACCATACGTAGGTCATTGCTTCAATAAATATACCAATATTGCAAGCCAAATCAGCTTGGTAATTTTATATAAGCGAAAATTGAAATACCCTACTTTCTCACAACAATTTTATGAAACGCGCGGCATGAGACTGTCACTAAAGCATTTTGTACTATGAATTAAATCTAAATCTAAGTAAAAGAAAGTAAATCTGTTTACTTAGTTATCTATTTATTACACCATTACGAGTCCAGTACCAAACCTTGGGCTGTTTGTGATATAATGAGATATAAACTGTTTGAGTTCTAAGAAAGAAACAAGAGATCGTTTAGGTATAAAGGTTTTTTGAGGTGAGAGATGACGTAGATCACTTTTCTAAGAATATCAATTATTACCTTTTACCGTGACTTCGCCTACTTAAATTGTAGCCTATGCCTATGCAGCTGCATCATAGAGCTTCCTGTAGGTAAAAGAATTTTTAATACTGGTGTCCAAGTGTCGGAACCTATTTAATGTATAATCAGATAAATGATCAAATCTTTACTCATAATATAAAATTTAACGGAGAGTCAAATTAGGAAGTTTCTTAAGTAAAAAGATATAGAAGATGAGAGCATAAAATGGCAGATATTATTATATGATACGCTAAGGACCTTATAATAATTACATTGGTAAGTACATTATACGTTTAGACGTACATTAGAAAAGGCTGAAAAACATGAAACTTTCAGACTGAGACGAAAGTACGGATATTATCAAAGAAAGTCATAATTATAATACAGATTACACTCCGAAAAAGCGAGCGCACATCTCACGCGTGCTCTTTGTCTGATCCGTACTTTGAGCCGATGCGGACCAACTGGGTCAGTCAAAGCAAGGTTGCTTCAATCGCTTTATTGTCTTCATAATGATGCGTTATTTCATAACGACAGAAGCAGAGCGAAAAATCAATTACCTATGTTCAACAATGATTTCGCAAAGAAACAAAGCTTCACTAAAAATAATATCAATTATAAGGTTACTACCTCGAGGGGGAATCAATAGTCACTCAACCACTTCACTACCGAGATATTATAGTTCAATATTAAGAATTTTAAATTGTTTTCAACAATCGTATATTTTTAACACAATTTAACAAATCCTATGATCAACTATTGAAAAGGTCGAATACGAGTATTACTGCGCCATCAGACCTGATATTCTTTTTTATTCTAAGACTGGATTGACATTAGGATACTATCTTGCCAGGGGGCCAATTCTATTAAATAAACTTTGTTTAAATCGAATCGAAAGCGGATCGAAACCGAACGAAACTACAGTTTTTAATGGTTTTCCTATTCTACAAAGTGACATACGACACAATTCCAGTTCTATTTTAGCTGGAATTGTATCGTATGTCACTTACTTTCGCATGTCACAATAGAAAAACCATTAAAAACTGTAGTTTCGTTCGGTTTCTATCCGTTTTCGATTCGATTAAAACAAAATTTATTTAGTAGAATTGGCCCCTTGATGATAAGTAAGATGGTATGTCTACTACATACTTTACGTAAATAAAATTATCTCGGACGATTCAAAAATACAATAATTTACAAAAGGTTTATTTCAATGGAATTTATTCTAGATAAACTACTAAATAAACCAAACGTCCAAACCATAGCTTATGTAAGTACAGTTTTAAGCCTACATTATCGCACTTATAAAACTGTAATCATATTGCGACACTGTCTCTTTTTTAAGGCGAGGATGATAATACATAATCTGATAAGCAACGACGATCGCGTTTCTATCTCAAGTCATATAGAATAACAAAATTGCAAACTATTTTGTTTAGTAAAAACTTTTTGTTGGAAAAATATACGTTTGAGTCAAATAAGCACTACGCAAAAGTAGACATTTTTGTTTCTTGTACAATATGAACTATCAAAGTTTTCATTTGCTATTATGTGATTTACATCTAATTCAATCTTAACATTTTATTTAATTTCACATATCTATTATATATAAATCTATCTATATTACTTTAAGCGAGATGCAAGAATAGAATAGACTTAAAACATCTTATAATTTTTGCAATTTAAATAACTGGTTGTTTTAAAACTTAAAATAAAAGTTGAATTTAACTAACTTTAAAATATACTTGGAAATTGTTTTATTATTTACTAGTTATTTTTCCGCGATTTTGCTCGCATAAATTATAACATAAACAACCGCGTATGATGTAGCTTCTCGTAGGTGAAAGAACTTTCATGAACAGCCCTGCGATTCTGTGAAAATTCAGACCCGATTTCGAATTCGCACATGTTTCCGAATTTACTTCAAAAAGCGGCATCCGAACAACCTTCAATTGATTCGTAGTATAAGTAAAGCGAGATTAGAAAAGGCATAGGAATAGAATATCTGAGACACGTATATCCAATCAATTTTATCTTAAATATATATATTATACAAAAAATGGAATCAATAGAATTTCTACACTCAACGCCGATAATTCGGACACATGAGTGAAATCGAAGTCGGGTCTGGATTTTTACAGAATCGCAGGGCTGATCAGTAATTCCGAAGATTACCCCCCATAAATAAAATTGGAAAGTTTGCCTCTTTAGAATATTACCTTCCCCTTAAGAGGAAATACAGTATTATCGCTGCATGATCGGACTTCACTTTGGTTACGTATAACTTGTAACAAAGCTTAGCAAAGTCATCCAATGCGTAACTACTTCGTAATACATAAACTATACTTTAGATGCTAATACTTGAATGTGTTGTTACTATCAATTATCACGGTTATTGCTCTAACAAATTAGTGTCACGTAATTTTCATTATTTTTTTGCTGCTTCAGTATAGAATTACTACTTTAAACCTGTTTGCATTAATTATTATCTTATATCGATTTATGCCATCATGTATATTGCACTGTTCTCGTTATTCATTAGTTAAATGTAACTTTTTTTTATCATAACGCAATATTTCTATTTATTGAATCTATTTCGTGATAAATTAAACTCTAAAATTCTATGAAATCAATCATGCAAAATAGGTTTTTCTAATGATTCTGTAAACGTATTTTTAACGAAGTTGAGTTATTATTACTATTTCGATTAGATTAAGATCGAAACATATAACAATATCGGCAGCAATAATTAATAATAATTTAGACATTTTATTATTGATTTATATATATTTTTTGTATGTAATAATCAATATGGGAAGTGAATAAAAAATATAATTTAAAACAAACATTTTATTAATATCACAATTTCACAGGGACTCATCAGGCGCCTCTAGTTACTTTTAACGAATGACCTTTCAATCAAATTATGTCACAACTTTTAGACAATAACATTTTCAAAGCGTATCTTCGATACAACCAATTTCTAAGCCTATCAGGTACATTTTAAACAAAGCACAAACAAGTCACAAACAAGCTTACGAGTTAAAGCCTCTATATAAATATCTCTACTGCTTCAGAAACCTTATCCATAGTAAAATCAACGATATCACTTGTTGTTATTATATTACAAATAAGATTGTAAGCAATAGAAATAAAAATATAGAATATTTTGTTAACAGGCAAGAAATACTCCTTAATTCATTTAGATTGCAGAGAATACTGAAGCTTTCTCCACAAAGGAGTTTTAATTAAATTAATGCTATTAATAACCGCCGTAGTGGTATCCTCCTTCGCTATTGCCAGATAGAGCTTGTCCGTGCTCAGATTCATATTGTGGGGCCTGAAGCTCAGCGTAGCCTTTCAAACCTTCACCGCCATCGTAACCACCGTAATGTTCGAGACCTCCTTGCTCGATACCTTGCTCGAAACCTCCGTGTTCATAACCTCCATGCTCGAGACCTCCGTGGCCGAGGCTGGCAGCTAGATGTTCTGTATCTAGTCTATGGTCTTCCAAAACGAGACCACCACCATGTTTATGCTCAGTCTCAGGGTGGATGAGTTTCAGATTCTGTTCCGATTTTCCTTTCTCCAATGGGTGCTCCAACAGATGCTTATGTTCTTTCTTAACATACACAGGGACTGGATGGAAGTGTTCGAATTTGATCGACTGATGGGACTTGGCGTGCTCATGCTGAATATGATGCTGGTGACCCGATTCGCCTATTAAAGCATGATCGTACTTTTCTTCGAGTTGGGGAGCTTCATCGTGGATGATGCCAGGGTAAGCCGCAGCAACGGCGAGGAATCCTAGGAAAATCTAAAAAAAAAAACAATATGCAATTAATTGATGTATAATTGAATTTACGCAATGTTTTCTCAACTCTAGAGAATTTTTTTAGTAAGTATCATGACTCAATTTGATTGGCTAACTGTCACTCATATTCTTGAACTAGTTTCTTGAATTTGAGTGACAGTTACTCTCAATAAACATAATGTAGTTAACAGTTATAATATAGACCAAATGTCACTGTGAATGTGACCAAGAGACTAGGAATTATCAATATACAGGCGATCTCAGAAACTAGTTCAACTGAAAGTAAGGAGGAACAACAGATCATGTTATGTAAGATATTCCTGTAATATTGAGACCAGGAAGAGTATGACCACGGTTTTGTTCACTGAATTGATACATATATGAATTTAATAACGCTGATTAACAACAGCGGATGTTACAGCTTTGATAAGTTGATGGATTCGTTTTTTCTTGTTTATTTAAGTACTTATTACGAACGGTTAAACTATGAAAATAAAGGCATTTACGAATTAACCAAAAGCTTTTTTTTAAATAGTATAAATAATTAGTGTATCGCAGTTGTTTTGTACAATTTCATACAAAATTTTAGTTTAAGAACTCCTACAATATTTGGTCAGTTTCGTATCGATTCCTTATATTTTCATTTTCTTATAATAAGCACTTTTTTTTTAATTTAGAACGCAAACGATCACAACACTTAGCACAAACACGACTCACGTTACGCACATGATAATTCATTGTGGAGTGTACAGATTGCACCTTACTGCACCGAGGTTGTTCGAGTTGTGCTTACTACGGTAATTTGCATCCTTTATATACCACGTTTCTCCGTACACAAGTGAGTGTGTGTGTGTGATCCACTTACGTTCTTACACAGTATTGACAATCCATCGGCGTAGAACAATAGATAGAAATTGTTCAGAGATAGAATATTTTTGCCTATCAAAGAGAATTTCTATTGTAATTATAACGTAATAAGTTAATGTAATCGATTTACAATGGATTCGATTTACATAATCGAAAGCTTATGTGTTGTCTTTGAATATTATCAAAAGGTTAATGTTTGTCGCTTCTCTGAACTGCTTGTGACCGATTATATTGGCTTAATTTTTGTTGACGTCAGATAATCTTTACAGGAAACAATGAAAGCGTTCGGTTTGGGCTATTTAGGAGTAGATAATGTAATAAATTTCTTTGAAATCGGATAAATAGTTCTGGTATGATTGGCCAATAAATAGACGTACTGTGCGTTTATTTAATAAGCCGTATCTTATTAATATAGTTAATTATGATCTATTACAGATGTTTGTAGTATTAATGTAGCGACATATTGGTAAAAATCTAACATAAAGCTCACGTAAACAACAATAAAATATACAACGTGTCCCAAAATTCAACGATAAGCGGGCGCGCCAAGAGGTAGACCTGCTCATGTGTACTTATGGAAAAATAAGAAAAAAATTATATCTTATTAATCTTTTTTATTATAAAATAAAATTCGAAAATTTTCGAAAGAGTTGTAGCGAATAGTAGTGCTACTTAGGTATCCGATACCAAAAAAAGATTGAACATAATTGAGAAGTTGTGGTCATGGTAGTTGAAAATATCATAAAAGGTGTAAATTTTCGAAGATTTTCGAATTTAATTTTATAATAAAAAAGATAAGATATAATTTTTTTCTTATTTTTCCATAAGTACACATGAGCAAGGGAACCTCTTGGCGCCCGCTTATCGTTGAATTTTGGGACACGTTGTATACATACTTATACATAATTTATTTTTCCTCTGTACAATATCTTTGCACAATGCGGCAATCCTATGACACGCAAAAGACGAACAATTTTTATTTTATTTTATTTATTAGGACAGCCAACAATAAGTACACTATTACAAACTCTTAAATTAGGTTTACAATTTATAGTTATAAGCCCTTGTCAATTATAGGCAGTCACAACATGCACACTTATATTAAATATGAACAGTACAAACGATACATTTTACTAAATTTCACAGTTTTTAAGAGCTATTGAAAATTTCGTTTCATTATTAATAATATTCAATTTAAGATTTGTCATTTTTGAGTCATAGTCATTTTATCCCAATCTTATTATAATAGAGGTGAAATTATTACAAAAGCACCAAATATATTTTAGAGTCGGAAGTTGAGAACTACAACTTTACATCGAAAGAGTGGTATGCGGTTCGATAGTTGCAAATGGCCGAACTCTATATGGCAATTCTGCTAATGTTACCATAATTATGGAAAGTCGATAACGCTTCAACTGCAACCCTTTGACACAGTTCTTGATACTAAATCACACAACAATAAATATATCTGTCACCATTGATTTGTTAGGAACACATTGCTCGAATGATGTTGGACTTTGTAGGTAGTACAACATAGCAGAATTGAGGCCCTATACTATTGAAGTTGGGACGGGACCTACCTTCGATTATTAAACAGCGGCGATGATGTTGTTAATCGAAGCAACCTACACTAAATCTCAAGAAAATCTCTCAATTTCAAAATTATGTTAACTTACTAACAACATATCCTCGAATGTACAATGCCGTAAAGTTTAATAAGTATTAATGTCGTCGTCATTAGCTGTTCGATGCCAACTGCCGAGCATATGTTCCACAATGAACAGTCCATCGCTGCCCACATCCAGCGTCTTTCCGCAACTTTTACATGATCATCGTCCGCTACGTGATCACTATTCTAGAAACTTTCGGCCCTAGCGACCAACGAGTTACATATCCGGCCCACTGCCACTTCAGCTGAGCTATCTCTGAAACACAGTCAGCAACATTGGTTCTACTACGGATCTCTTTATTTCTGAGGCGGTCACGTAGAGAAATACCAAGTAGTACTCTCTTCATTCCCAGTAGAATACTGAGCAACCTAAAGCTTTTTCATCAGACCCACAGTGAAAATCATGTTCTAAGTTTTGTTAAAGTAATTTACAAAATAATCGTAATAAAAACTTAATATCATTATCATATTACAAGTACTTCGAATCCAGGGTCAATTCTTAAAAAGTAACACAACGAAAGTTACATTCACAGCACTTATTTGTAATTTTATCATTCTATAAATAAACTTTTAATTTAATTATCTTAAACCGAAATTTAAATCAAGGCTAACGCTTTTTACATAATCAAAAGCTCGATTTTTGGAGAGGTTTTCGTATTAACAAATTTAATATACTGTTTTAATTAAATTTTGTACTGTTGTTGTTTAGTTTTAAATTTTTGGCTTCTAGATTTTCCCAATGCATTGTTCCAGTAAAACTATTATATACTGCCTGTGTCACCAATTATAGTCAGCGGGCCTTCAGTGCTCTGCGTATCCAATAAAACAATTATTTAGTGCAGATTGCTCCGATTCTGCAGTGCGTCAGGTATGTTTGCACAAATGCATTAAATGATTTCTATGTCATCATGAGGAAGAAAAGTGCTCCTATGATTTTCAGAGTGCGAGCCGACTCCAACTATATTCTACAAGTGATGGAAGGTCTATACTAATCCTTTAATATATTGTAATACATAGCACATTGAGTTTCTACGTAGACTTGATTTTACGTTTTGTGCCACACTAGCAAGAATATGAATTTCTAAATGTTGTCCGAAATAAAAATTAATATTATATTTAATGTAAAATATATTTTTATTTATATTTTTTAACGATATTTTGTTGGATATTATCTACTGTAAACTAGACGGGATTATTTAATTAAAAAGGTTGCTTGGTTACCTTCTAGCTCAATCATCAGATCAGTTTTATTTTATACTAGCTGTTGTCCCGCGTCATCGCACGTGTAAGTTATAGCCTTCGCACGTGTATGATTTAGCTATCCGTAAGTGAAATAATTTTTAAAATCGGCCCAGTAATTTCGGTCCCTATTCGATGCAAACAAACAGACAATCAAATCTTTCCTCTTTATAATATTAGTATATATTAAAATTACATTGCCATTCAAGTTATAAACGCATGCGAAATTTCAGCTCAACAAAAACCGTTAAGTAGGTCAAATTTAGCTTTAACTAATTTGGCTTGCGAAACTTAACCCACACTAACTACAACGGTAAGTTTAATAAAAGTTTTTAATTAAACTTATTTTGTGTTTTTGTTCAACTCATAAACGAACTATAGAAACTTTAGGTAATGGAAAAAAATAAGTTATGCGGTTCTTATAACAGTATTCTATTACTTCTTTATTCTAGATTGTAGTTAATATATTTATTGCATTATGATTAATTAATTCCTAATTATTACTTACTTTTAAATTGTTCAAGTCTCGCAGTTATATTAACTAGTTTCATATAAATATGGAAATTTTGTGTTAATAAGCAAATTAACAACCGAGACGTACCGGCAAAAACCTACTCTTAAAATTGAACACGAAATTTGTTCATTTTATTTCTTTCGATCTGATCACTTTCTTTGCATTGTTTACCTACCCATAGGCTACACTTAAAAGAATATACACGTGTATGAACACCAATCGTCATAATAATTTCTTCTGGCATCTCTTTGCCTTTACGTCTCATGGAAATCAAGAGTAGTAACGCAAGCACTGTTGGCGTTGCTGCCAAAGCCCTTAATTTAATAAGATACAGCTCCAAGTTTTCGAATTTTGTCTTTAAATTAAAAACTATCAGAAAAATATAAAGAAAATTGTACCATTATCTTCTACTCAGAATTATTATCTATACATATAAATAATTCTATTTGTGTCTATTACGTTTTCAAGTGTATAGTACTTAACCAATTCAAAAGAAATTATATACAGATATAGTGTACCTTGGGAAAGGATAAAGGATAGTTTTTATAGCAAAATATGGGTTCTAAAGGATTACCTTGCGGGCGAAACCGCGGGTCAGCAAAAGTCAGCGAATATAATATGTTTTAGAGTAGGACTCCAACTCGCAATAGTTACAAACTTAATTAAAAACTATGCCTCGGCTTTACCATTGTTATCTCGTTGCGGCTGCCGCCATTTCTTCGCCACGGGCAACATTGTTTAGGTGTAATAAATTCAGAGTCATTATTTGTCTAAAATGAAGTAATTAGTCCATGCATTTTGTATTTAATTGTGTATTTTATTTCGCCAAGGTTCTGCTTTCGATCTACAATTGAGTTTTTCAACTATTTGATTTCAATGTTTTATAACAGAAAATAGAGACAGAGAATTTTTGTTACAAAAGACCCGCGGATCCATCGTCTAGCGGGGCGCTATTACTACACAGAGTTTCAATCTATTTGAAACCTATATTACCTTAATTAAAGTAGATAAGTAGGTTTTATTTAAACGAACCTTTATATTATGACATAGCTGCGTTCAACCACATTGAGGCTGTTATTATAACAGTATTCTGTTACTACTGGTAGTGCAGCTACATTCAAAATATGTTCTAAGGAATAAATTAAAAATATATATTCCATAATAAGCAAATTTCTCATTGCAATTGGGGGACATAATTACTTGAAAACATGTCATCATTAAGGCAGACGTTAATACCAAATCAACAAAAATTTAAATAAAGCAAGAACTGTTAAGTTAGAGTGCTATTATTATTAGCTTTTAATCGATCTTATTCATTAAATTTCTCGTCTATTGTTAAAAAATATTTGCTTAAGTTATGCCATTTTTAACTGACTTCAAAATCCAAAAAAAGGAGGGTATATGTTCGACGGCGATGTATGTTTTTTTTTGTATATGTTCACCGATAATTCCACCAATTATTGACCGATTTACATTTTTTTTTATT